GGATAGTGATTTTATTGCCTTTGATATATTTCCAGGAGTGGAATTTGCTGGATCATATGGTAATTCCATTTATTTATTTTTTGAGGAATCTCCATACTGTTTGCCATAATGGATGCATCAGTTTACATTCCCACTCACAGTGCACAAGGGTTCCCTTTTCTCCACAACTTCCCAACACTTGTCTTTTTTATGATGTCATTCTGACAGGTGTGAGGTGATATCTCATTGTGGTTTGACTTGTCATGAACTTAATATGAATGGAGCATGTCCTTTTTGTGTGGCTTTTTTCACTCATTGTGTTTGTGAGATTCATCCACCTATTCACATGTAATTGCAGGCAATTTTTTCTCTTTGCTGTATACTATTCCTTGTGTGGATGCATATAAGTTCATTCACTTACAAGTACATTTTTATTTGTTTTGTGCTCCATGTAGGAAGGCATGAATCTGCACTGATTTGGCCCCAAACCAAAGCCTTAAGGCTGTTTCGCTATAACTCACTGAGATGCCACCCAGGCAGGGAGTGCTGTGTCCTGGTTAGAAGGCACCTGCCCCCAAGCTAGGGACCTGGGCTGTTCCTCGCCCGCCCAGCTCCTGTGGCAGCACCTGGCACATCATCATGTAGCTCAATGAATACCTGTGAGTTGTTGAAAGTATAGGCTTTAGAATCAAACCGCATTTGAGATCTAAATTGGCCCTAACATTCCATTTGAATGTGGATAAATGGCTTAACTTCTGTAGCCTCCATTTTCTCAGCTGCTAAGGGGACGCCAGCCTTTGGGGAGGGCTCCGTGAGAAACCATGCCCTGGGCCTGGCCGAGTGTTCACCCGTGAAGGCAGTGAATCAGAGGCTCTCTCCCTCTCGTCAGTTCCATGGAGCCGAACTCGTGGGCGACCCCTTACTGTCGCTGAAGAGGAGTAATGTCTCCCCTGGATCAGTCACTGCTTCAGACTGTGAAAGCAGGAGGGAGGGCAGGCGGACAGCAGCAGCGAGGGCTGGAGGAACCGACGTCAGCCCATTCGCTGCAGCACCACCCGCTGGGATTGCTGATGGGTGTCTGCCTTCGTGGTGGGGTCAGAGGGCGTAGGACAGCACGTGCAGTGACGGTCCTGCAGCCACTCCTGGAACCGAGGTGGTGCCCTGAGCGTGCAGCGTCTGCCGGGGAGACGGGCGTCCAGAGCGCCGAGGATCTGTCATGCCCGCTGCCCGAGTGTGGACAGTTTAGGTCAGTCTAGCTGGTGAAAGGAGCACACTTGCATTTTTCTGGGACCACGGGCATCGCCCACGTGTCATGGTGTGCACGTTTCGGCCAGACCCTGGGGAAGAACAGCACCGGGGGGAGCCTGCAGGTTAGCTGGACAGAGTGTGGGTGTCAGGGCCAGGGGACACGAGCCACTGCCTCACAGAACTTGCTTCTGGGGATAACAGGGCGAATCTCCTCTTCTCACTTCCTCCTTGTAAATCATAAGCTTGGAGTGTTAAGGTGGCCTTTTGCCAAAAGACCGACATCAAATATTTACACACGACCAGAGCAAGTAGCTCTCTGTGCACAGTAGGGGAGCTGCTTTCTTTTTATAAGAAAATGCAGTGATGATGGAGTGTTTCCCATAGATGGAGGCGAGCTAACCTTTTACATCGGGGGCTTTCGCTCTGAGATGGAGCTATTTATACCCGGCGCGGTGCACAGGACGGGGAGGCTGAGCCAGGGGGCGGCGAGGAGACAGCGGACAAGGCCGTCCAGCAGCCAACTGTTTAAAAGCCTAGCTGTCTGCTCTCTGTGGTTCATTGACTTTTTGCTGTTACAGAGAGATGACCAAATTTTGACAGCCATTCTGAACTTGCTTGGGAGTTAAGTAGGTGAGTCAGCACTCTGGGTTGGAGACAGTGGAGCAGTGGGCTGAGAGGCTGGAAGGCGGACTCTGGATGCGGAGGCTGGGAAATAAGGGCCTGTTTGTTGCTACTTCACGCCCGCCAAGTGTGGCCATTCTCCTCCCCAGAGACCACTCAGCGCTCTTCCCAGGCCTGTACTCGGGAGGAAAGGGCAGCCAGGCAGGGGGTGGGACAGGAGGTCTGGGTGGGCTCTGCTGTCTTCTTCCCCCTTCTGGACCTCAACTCTGCAGTCCAGTGCCCTTGGCAGGCTCAACACCATCATGTTACTTGTCTCGGGCCGGGCACTCAGATACTCTAAGCCCATGGTAGGCGCATTGAAAGAGCTTGAAGGTTTTCCTTCGAGGAGATCTGTAGGTAGAGACTTTGGAAATTGGCTATAACACATTGTTGTAGAAGCCCCGAGGGAATTTGTGCTGTGTTGATAAAATCCCAAAGGAATCATTGAGAATCTTGTCCAGGCATCCCCCCGGGTCAGGACTGGGGAGAAGCTTTATTGAAAGGGGTTCACTCCACGGGCTATGCCTACGGCGGCAGGGCCTCCAGCTGGGCCAAACTTTCAAGGTGAGCTCGACCCCAAAATACTTGTCGTTCAGCTGAAGAGCAGCTCTGTTCTTCCCTGGTCACCTTTGTAAAATGTCCCTTAGGAGGGTATTGAAGAAAGTCTTGGGGAAGCGTTTTAGCAGAGCAGTTGAGAGAGGCAAGCTTAGAACTGTTGCTAAGGCTGTTCGAGAACAGACCCTCAGAATAGGAAACTGAAACGAGCACGACATTGATGAACTCGAGGGATCTTTCTTGAAATGGAGCATTTCCTTCTCACGTGGGAATGACATCAGGAGAAGAATGCAGTGCTCCAGGAATTACCTTCACAGCCATGGTTTGTTGAGCTGGTCCGGTACGTCTGTCACTCTGGAATAATCAGGACTGTCCCCAGACTAAGCAAAGTGCACTGGTTTCATGTTTCTTAGGTTTAGGTTGGGCACTGTATCAGCCAGCTATTGTTACAATAATGCTGTGTAACAAACCACTCCAGAGCTCGTTGGTTTAAAACAGGAATAATTTACTCTCACATAGTCTCAGGTCACACTGAGGCAGGGATCTCAGCTGGGCTCACTCACAGGTCTGTGGGTCCCCTGGCCTACGCTAAGCTTCGTGGGGGCAACTCTGCTCCATCTGTCTTTCAATCACCTGGAACCAGCTGGCTGCTGGGGCACATCCTTGCAAAGTGGCAGGAGAGGCATCAGCCATCGGGCTCAACCTCCCACACAGTGCTTTTCAAGCTCCTGCATGCCTCACACCTGTTAGCATCCCATCAGCCAAGCAAGTCACGTGGATGAGCCCCTAGCTGTCTGGTCTCTCCAACAGTCATCTTAGTTTTGACTTTATTTATCCTGCTACTGTCCAGGGGGAGAGAGAGAGAATTAATTAGTTGCCCATTTCTAATGGTGTTTTAGTGCTTTCAACTCAATTAGTAAAAGCTTTTAAAATATAATGTTAAGCGTAGCTGTTTATTTATTCTTCTTCTTGCAAATAATGTTCTCATTCTGGTAGCATTTTGATTTTGTTTATGAGGTCTGTTGGAAGACAGAAGCTAAAGATTGTTTTGTGTTTACATCTGTCGGTCCTACTCCTTCGTGACTTCTGGAGCATGCTGGCAGTCCCTGAGCTCTGCTGTGTTTGGAGGACTCTCTGAATTTGTCTCTCCCTCCCTGAAAAAGAAAGGTCACATTGTTATGTGAATTGTCCTTTTAAATAAAAATAGTATATCATTAACCATATTTTTTTTGTGTGTATTGTCATAACAAAATACCACCACTGGGGTGGCTTGAACAATACATTTATTTTCTCATGGTTCAGGAGGCTAGGAGTCTTTGGTCAAGGTGCTGGCAAGTTTGGTTTCTGGTGAGACCGCTCTTCCTGACTTGCAGACAGCTAGCTACCTTCTCTCTGTGTCCTCATATGGCCTTTCCTCTGCGCAAGGACAGGGGAAGGGATGGGTGTCTGTTCCACTTCTTGTAAGGGCATCAGACCTAACAGATTAGGGCCCACCCATAAGACCTCGATTATTTCCCTAAAGGCCCTATCTCCAAACACAGTCACTTTAGAGGTTAGAGCTTCCACATAGGACTTGGGGTGGGGGTGGGGAGTGCACAATTCAGTCCATAACAGTCTGATTGAGCAGTGATTTGTGGAATAGACTCTAGGGACCAGGAGGGATTCTCTGTCCACCACCGCATTTCACAGATGAGAGACCAAGTCCCTGAAAGGGGTCACACCACTTCTCCTGATAAAGCATGGACCCAGACCACCTGCTTCAAAGTCCAGTCCTCTTTCCCACAATCTCTAATCTAAACGACTCTAGGGCATTAGGAGCCATTAACAGAAAAATAGGCAGAAAGCACCTTCTTAATGCAGGGGTAGGGACCCTGCTGTAATTTTCTTATACCCTCATTGCCCAGGACAGTCTTGTAGCATGCTATACACATAATGTACATCTGTCGAATTGTACAGAACTTGGTACATTGACTAAAGCAATGCCTGAGGAAATGTCTTCAGTGATAAATCATTTGGAAAAACTCCCCTCCCCCAAGTCCACCCCTTGATAAGAGCTGACTCAAGTCTCGTCTGTAACGGCAGCCCACATCCTAGGAACTTCCAAGAATCAACCCATCAAGAATGCGTCTGACAAGCTCAGATCTGGTGTGTTCTATCTATCCCTCATTTAAAAAATATCTCTCACCTAAATATAGTTTTCTTCTAAAAACTGTCTCTAAATGACTGTGTTCTGCCCTGAATAAGTTCTCCCCAGTGCATCCTGACGTTGAAGCGTGAAAAGGAAGGTAAACGCATGAAATCAAATGGTGATTGCTAACAATGAAATTCGGGCTCATAAAATCAAGGATATTATTCAGAACTGCGAGGTGAATTAGTCTCATTCATTCTGATGGGGCCAGACTCTATGGCTGTGTGTGCCTTCTTTAATTAACATGCTGAAAAGATGTTCTGATTGGGATTATTAATGAATGCAGTGAAAATTTTTGCTGCTTGTAAGGCTTCTGCCACAGACGGTTTACAGACCCCCCCTTTTCTTTCTTTTTTTTTTTTTCCAACAGATCCCTTACACAGCTTGACAGATGGAGTATTCATCTTTGAAGCTGTTTCCACAGAAGATAGCAAAACCATGCAGGGCTATGATGCTATTGTTGTCGAACAATGGACGGTCCTGGAAGTAAGTGTGGGGTGGGCAGGGGGGCTTCTTTTGTTCGGACAGGGATTGTTTTATTCGCGTGCTGGGTCTGTCCGTGGCTGCTGCTCAGCTGTGGCTTTTCCTCTGAAAGGCAGTTTGACCTGGGCGGACCCTACAAGGACCCCTTCCATCTTTTCATGCTCCCCCTTTCCCAAGGTGGGGGATGGGCCCCACGGTTCCCTTTCTGTAGGGAAAACCCAGTGTGTGTCGGACCCTTCTTCGGTGGCAAACGATCCTTCTCTCATATATTTGCCTATAACTGAAAACTCTAAGGGACATAAAGGAGGCAGACACACAGTAGGTGGCCTCCGTGACAACGTCGTTACTGGTGCGACACCCTGTACAGGGCTTCCTCTGCCAGGTGTCCTCAGAGAAATGTATGCACACGTGCTCACCTGATCTTCACAACAGGCCTGTGAGGTAGGTACCGCAGTGGCTCTTGTTTTACAGATGAGGAAGCAGAGGCACAGAGAGGTTAGGTCCCTGTTCTGAGGTCACTCATTGAGTGCTGGGGGGTCTCTGAGAAGTGTGGACCCATTAGGCCACCAAGTTACGGTGGGCGTGGAGGCCCCACACCACGTCCTTGGAAGAGCTGGTTTGCTTCCGAGACTCTCTGGTGTATACTTTGCAGACATTTCTCCAGCCGCGGAAGCACGGACTCTTTAGGCTCAGCTCGTGTCCCCAGCAGGTGGGATGTGAAGGGAGAAGCTGTTGGGAGCTAGAGGACTGATTCCCGGACGCCCTCCAGCAGCCCCTGGGAGAACACAGGGGTCGTGTTGCCCCAGGGGGGCCCTCCAGACCTGCTCTCTGTGCCTAAGACAGGGGGGTGCAGCTCTTTGTGAGGGGTGTGGGCCCACATGACCCGCAGGGTATGGAGAGAGAGCGCATGCTCACCGCACCCTCGTGTCCTTGGGAAGTGCAGCCTGGAGGTGACTCCCTTGCCTGGCGCTGGAATAGGGCGCCCCAGGGCACGGCGACTCAGCCTTCACGCCCCTGTCCTGTCCCCGCAGCAGCAGCGAAGTGGGGAGCAGGCTGTCGGGGGCATGCCTGAATCTGAGCAGTGATGGAAATAACTGCCTGTAAGTGTGACAGCAACAGAGTCCAAAGAAAAACTGGACTAATTAGAAACAGGAATTCCTAAAACACAGCACCCAGGGCCCATTAGGGTCACGGGGAATCCTGAGAGCATGTGTAGTGAGGACAGGAAGGACTCCGAGGATGACCTACTTGGACAGTCAGGCTCCACCCATTTACCCGCCCCGACCTTGGTCCCAGTGGGCCCCAAACTGGAAATGGGGTGCAGAGGAACTGAGGCTTAGTCTAAAATGCACAGTCCAACGAGGGCAGGTCCCATCCCCTCTTGAGACCCCAAAATTCCTGAACGGTAAGCTGGGGCAGTGCTGTACCCAGCCCCCCGCACGTGGTGGCAAGAGGCTCCAGGTGTGGTGAGGTGTGGGCCAGCGGGCAGCAGGGGAGGCCCTCGAGGACCCCACTGAAACAGCTCCGACACCCAGGCGGCACGCGCGGAAGCGGCTGGCAGGCCACGGGGATGCGTGTCAGATCTCTCGTTGCCTGCACAGTAAAGTGGGAGGCCCTGGTTTCCTCGAGAAGAGCCCTTGATGGCCGTGATCCAGAATCCTCTGAGAAAGTGGTTCCCAAAGGGTGGTCCCAGCACCAGCAGCATCAGCCCCACCTGGGAAGTCATTACAAATGCAGATTCTTGGGCTCCACCTGGATCTACTGAATCAGAAACTCTGCGGTTGGGCCCCGGGGATCTGTGTTTTCACAAGAGCCCGAGGGGATTCTGAGGCACAGTCCGTTTTAAGAACCAGTGTCTAAAGGACCATACCGACGCCATTCTCACCAAATGTCTGTGGCGAAAGGAGTGATGGAGAGGTCCCCGATGGTCTGTCTTCTTTAGCCTTTGAAGCTAAGGTGACCTTGACGGGTAAGGAGTGAATGCATGCTGTACCACATGTCTGTGGGAGAGAGACAGGAATAAGGGCATTTGTCTTTTTAATGTGAAAAGGTCAATCTGATGGGTTAAGAAGTTAGATCAGAAAGATTAACATTTATTCAGGAACTTTTCTTGGAATTGCAGATTGGTTTTCTTTAGGTTTGTCCATTTTATTTTTTTTCTCAGATGTTTGAACTTTTCCCTCTTGAGCTTTTATATGTTTGTGCATTAATCTGTTTGCGGAGATTAGTTTTAGGGCTTGTCATCTTTGTCCCTTGTCCCCACCCCAGCCAACACACATTCATTCATTCTCTCCCCTTCGCCCCCTCCCCTTCATCCTCCTGTTCCCCTCCCCCTCTCTTCAGGAACACTTTGGCTTTTTTCCCCATGAGTCTTTGGAAGTGAAATAGGATGAAATAGGATTTTAAGGATTTGTGATAAGCCCAGTGGTGAGCACTGGCCTACAAAACCAATTCTGTGTGTTCCTTCCCTCCCTATTCAGTGACAAATTCAGCCAGATTTATAGCTGAAATTGGCCATGATGGAACTATTCCACCATGGAAATTGGCAAATGCTAGAAATTAGGGGTTTTTCCCCCTGAAGAGCCAGTTATACTCTTTTACCAGCACACCACTGGATGGGCCCTTATTTCATCACATTTCAAATTATAATGTACGGGTGTGGCTGGCATCCAGCTAGGCAGAAACAGATTTTATTAATTTTTTTTCCTTATTGATTTTAGAAAGAGGAAGGGAGGAGAGAGAAATAGAAACATCGATGAGCGAGAACATCGATTGGCCTCCTCCTGCATGCCCTCCACTGGGGATCAGGCCCACAACCTGGGCATGTGTCCTCACTGGGAATTGAACCAGCAAACTCTTGGTGCATGGGTCAACACTCAACCACTGAGCCACACCAGCCGGGCCGGATTTTCATAATTTTTATAATAGCGATGACAAGTGGATTGGTGGTTTTGATGTTGTTTACCAGTTTTCCGTGCTCAAGTCTCCAGACTTGCTCTTCCCTCTGGTGTTGGTGTCTGTGCAGCATCCCCAAATGTCCTGCAGTGGAGGGAGACAGCTGTCCCTTTAAGCAGCATCAACCTCGCAAGGGAAAAAAGAGAGGAGATTTTTTTTTTTGCTAATCCTCGCCTGAGGATATTTTTCCAACAATTTTTAGATAGAGTGGAAAGGAGGGAAGGGGGAGAGGGAGAGAGAGAGAAACATCGATGTGAGAGACACACATCAATTGGTTGCCTCCCACACAACCCCAACCAGGGCCAGGGATCAATCTGCAACCCAGGTGCATGCCCTTGACTGGGAATTGAACCCGAGACCTTCAGGCTGCGGGCTGACGCTCTAACCACTGAGAAGACCAGCCGGGGCAGGAGAGGAGATCTCTGGGGCAGACTGTACCCCTATTGGTTTCTCTTCCTCTGTGCAGCTGTTGTAGGCAGAATTCAAGAATCAGCTCAGTGGTCACCTCCTCCAGGAAGCCTTTCAAACTCCTTCAGGGTTCAAGACCCCTCTTCTGTGTTCCTGCAACTCTCTGCACATAGCCTGTTGTCTCCTAGTATACTCATTTGTATCGACCTACTTTCTCCCTTCACTCTGTTTCTTGGCCAGGGGATGTTCCTGAACTGTAGCAGCTTTTTGGTTCAGATCAAGGCGTAGAGCAATGTTCTCAAAATCGAGCATGTACCAGAATCACCTGGAGAGCTTTTTAAAACATAGATACTCAGGCTCTACCCCCAGAGTTTCCTATTCAGCACCTTTGAGAACCCAGCTAGGTTACCAGCACTGTCCAGGGAGTTCGGTCCGGGGCAGGTTTGGCCATGGTTCAGCTCCATGAAGAGGCCCTGGCAGACCCCCACTCTGACCCACGGACAACCCCTCTTCTGCATGCCCCTCCAGGTGTGTGGGGGCTGGGCCAGCTTCCTCACCTGCCACTCTCGAGACCCAGCTCCTTCCTCTCCTCTCCACCCTTTTGGCCTGTGGGAAAGGTCTTCCCCTTACACGCCTCGGGCAGGTTCCTCTTTGCTTGTGGTTGACCCTGCTCTTCTGGCACCTGCTGTCCTCCCAGGCCACCCTGTGAACTCTTTAGCTGTGACCACAGAACACATCTGACCAGCTTTCTCTCTTTTCTCACGGCTGGACTGACCTGTCCCTTTCCTGCCTCTTTACTCCCGTGAGGAGTAATATTCTCAGCTCAGTGTGCAGAGGTGCTATTCCAGTTCAGCCCCATCTTCCTGGCTTCACTCTCTCTGCACACATGCACGCACACCCAGGCGCACACTTTCACGAGAAAACCAACTTCGCCCTTGAGAAACTGCTGTATGTTGAAAAGAGAACATAGATTCTAGCCCCGGCTGGTTTGGCTCAGCAGTTAGAGCGCCGGCCCATGGGCTGAAGAGTCACGGGTTCAGTTCCAGCCAAGGGCATGTACCGCGGTTGCAGTTTGTTCCCGCCCTGGTCGGGTCATGCAGGAGGCAACCAGTCGATGTGTCCCTCTCATGCCGACATTTCTCTCTCTCTCCCTCTCTTTCCCTCCCTCCCACTCTATCTAAAGATAAAGATAAATAGAAAAATATCCTTGGGTAAGGATTAAAAAAAGAGAGAGTGCAGATTCTAGAGTCTAGAGTCTGGCGTGTGTGCATCCCGGTGCTTTTACTCCCACTGAGTAACTACGTGTAAGAAAAGTAAACCACCCCACTTAGCTGGTGTGGCTAGTGGTTGAGCGTCGACCCGTGCACCAGGAGGTCCTCAGTTCGATTCCCAGTCAGGGCACATGCCCAGGTTGTGGGTCAAATCTCTAATGGGGGGCATGCAGGAGGTGGCCAGTTGATGTTCTCTCTCATCGATGTTTCTATCTCTCCCTCTTCCTTTCTCTCTTTCCAAAATCAATGGAGGGGAAAAAAAAAACTTAAAAAAAAAAAGTATACCACCCCCTGTTTGTTATTCCATTTTCTAGTTGTGTACATGGGGACACTGGTAATGACCTCTCAAAGTTGATGAGAATTAAAAGA